GTGTTACAGGATGGGGTTTTGAGAGTAGGAGGAAGGTTGGGGCAGTCATCATTGCCCATTGAGGCTAAGCATCCAATAATACTTCCAAAAGACCATCATGTGTCTGCTTTGATTATACGTCATATTCACAAGGTTACAGGACACAGTGGAACGAACTACATACTCTCTAATTTAAGAGAGAGGTTTTGGATTCCCAAGGCAAATTCTGCTATCAGGAAAGTGTTGTCAAAGTGTGTAACATGCAGAAGGTTAGCAGCAAAACCTGGAAAACAGAAAATGGCAAACTTACCAAGTGATCGCCTCACAGGAGATAAGCCTCCATTCACCAATGTAGGAATAGATTACTTTGGTCCCTTTGAGGTTAAGGTCGGGCGTAGTCTAGTCAAGAGGTATGGTGTGTTGTTCACATGTCTTACCACTAGAGCAATACACTTAGAAGTTGCCCACTCACTGGAGACAGACTCTTGTATAAATGCCTTTAGGAGGTTCATATCTAGGAGAGGTCAAGTGTCTGTCATGAGATCAGACAATGGCACAAACTTGGTTGGAGCGGAGAAAGAGATGAGAGAAGCAATCAAAGGATGGAACCAAGTTAAGATGTCAGAGGCATTGTTGCAAAAGAATGTTACATGGATATTTAATCCACCAGCTGGTTCACAATTTGGTGGCATTTGCGAAAGACAGATACGTTCTGTGAGAAGAATTCTCAATCAGGTTTTGAAACAGCAAATTATTGATGATGAACGTCTTCATACATTATTTTGTGAAGTTGAGGCTATTGTTAACAACAGGCCACTAACTAAAATGTCATCTGATCCAAATGATTTGGAGGCAATCACACCTAACCATTTGCTTCTGTTGAAAGGACAACCAGGGTTACCTCCTGGTTTGTTTCAGAAGGAGGACTTGTATTCCAAGAGGAGGTGGAGACAGGTGCAGTATCTGTCTGATATCTTTTGGAAGCGATGGACTAAGGAATATTTGCCACTTCTACAAGAAAGGCAAAAGTGGACTCAGACACAGAGAAATCTGCAATTAGGAGATGTCATAATTAATGACAGTGCACCACGAGGTTCTTGGTTGATGGGAAAGGTGGAAAAGACCATTTGTGATTCAAAGGGGTACGTCAGACGTGTTTTTGTGAGAACTAAAACTAATGTTTTGGAAAGACCAATCGATAAATTGTGTCTATTGCTTGAAATGGATGAGTGAATGTAGAACATTTGTGGATCGCATTAAGCCAACTATTGTTTGACAGTAAATATTATTTTGGATTAATACACATGTTTAGAAAATGAAAGAACTTGTTTAAGTAATACTGGAGTTTGAGTTTTTTGCTTTACATTCATGATTAACATAATATAAGTCAAAATGTCACTTTAATGTGTGATTTGGTAATTGTTATGCACTCAGCATAGACAATTAGGGGCCGGAATGTAAGTGCCATTTTTGTAATATGCATAAGTTTGATTTAAAATTGTTCTATTTGAGTAATGCAGCTGAGTGTCAAGTTCATTTGAATTGAAATTTATTGTAAAGCTGTGGTTACTTAAGGGTTCATTTGTGATGGCCTTTTGGCGCCATTGTATGAGACACAGGAAGTTGATTTTCTCTTTGTTTTTGTTTTTTTTATTCTGTGAATAAACGAGTGGACGGCAGAGCAACACGGTATTTTACCATGAGTTGTCGCACCAGCTCAACACGTAAATATTCAGTCTCATATCCGTCTATTACGTAGTTATTATAAGAAATGTAAAAACAAAAGACATTTAAATACAAACTACAGATAACCATTACAAGGACGCTGCCAGATTGTTCTAGACCCCAGCTCTGACTTTCCAGCATTCTCTTCGGTATTGGTATTTTTATGTTTCTGACCCAGACTGCTTCCTTGGATTATTCTGTTCTGCCTTGCCCTCTTATTTCAGACTGCTTCAGTGTATCGGCTTAACGGACTTATCTTTGGACAACGCGTTTTGGATTCCCCTAGATGTATGTGTTTGCTGGCTCTGCTCTCGGACTGTTATACCGATGTCCACCGTGTCTTGTATGGCTTTTGTTTACGTTAGTTCTCTTACTAAAGAGACGGGTTTTGTTCATTACTTCCTCGTCTGGCCATTTAATGAGTTCACCTAACACTTTTCGGCCGCATCGCGCGCCGTTTCTGACAGTAATGTTCTCAGTATACTGAACTATATGACATTTCATTGGCGAAGGAAAAAAAAGAACATGTGGAGCAAGAAAAGTAGAGGGGAAATGGGAAACGCTTGGAGGAACGGTAAGACATAGACCGCAATCCTCTTTACCTCCAGGGCTCTGAGTCGCTCTAGCAGGGGATTGGTGTCCTTTGAATCTTCCCCCAATCTGCCGCGGGCCTCGGGCGAAGCAGGCGTCTCTGCTGCTGTGGAGCCCTCCGGGCTGTCCTGCTGCTTCCACATTTCCTCCAGGAGTTTGTCCTGGAACACAGAGAGCGTGGAGCAAAGATTCATGCCTCAAAGTCATGAAGAAATTAAGAATACATTCTCCATATCAGAGTGAGCTCCAGTTAGAACAGCAATAGATTTCAATAAACAACATATGCAATACTGGATAAATAACACTTCCACATTGCCTCATTTCAGAGTTAAACCATATTTTTATTAGCACTGAATCAAACAACCCTGTAATGTGTAAGTGTAGTTCACATACTGTATTTTCTTATTACAATTTTGTATTACACTTGTGATGAAAAAATGCAATTTATCACATAACCTTTATGCCAAGTCAGGACAATTTTTCAAAGTTTGTACACAAGATTTTACTTGATTCAAATCAAATTTAGCAAGGCCAGCAACATCAAAATCACATCGGTGTCCATCCATCATCTATATCACTTCTCCTGTAGAGGGCTGTGGGGGGGCTGGAGCCAATCCCAGCTGCCGTTGGCTGAGAGGCGGGGTCCACCCTGGACAGGTCGCCAGTCTGTCACAGGGCTGGCATATAAACCATTCACACTCACAGTCACACCTATGGGCAGTTTGCAATGACCAGCCAACCTAAGCTGCATGTCTCTGGACTGTGGGAGGAAGCCAGAGCACCCAGAGAGAACCCACACAGGCACAGGGAGAACGTGCACACTGCACACACAAAGGCCCGGTTGGCCTGCAGGTTCAAACCCAGAACCTTCTTGCTGTAAGATCACAGTGTTAACCACTGCACCATTATAATGCCCTATGACATTAGTCTTATAAAACAAAACTGTTCTAAAAGTCATACCTTGTATGCTTTCATAAGGTCCAGTGGATCCACCTTGGGGGCCTCCGGTGAGTCTTGGTTCTGTAGTAGCGTGTGCACTGTCTCCTCCATGCTGCAGTCAAGTAGGCAAAGAGCAGAAATAATAATAATAATACTGTGTTTCTTAGTATCTGAGCCTCAACAGCACAAAGTGCAACTGTTGCAATGCAACATGGATCATTTTTCCACAACTCTGGAGTTGGTCCAGCTCCATCATAAAGTTTTGTCCTGCTACTCATGTGGTCACACAGATCCAGCTGATTCCCATTAGAGTCACTCACTCCATACTGCTTTCCGTACTGACTCTCACTGATGCTGGTCAAATGAAATGAGGCTAACCACACAGGTCCTCAGCTTGGTCTCTTATTCTGTGTTTATGATTGGGGAGCTGAAGGGAAAATTGCTCTCCAGGTGTCTCTGTGGACCACACAGGAAATCACAACTGTGCTCTCAGAAAGGGCACAAACAAGCTGCCACCCTGTCTGGCTCTGACATAACCGAGCCGCATCCTCTTGTTTTGCTCTTACTCAGAAGGACACAAGAGCTGGGAGAATGCTGCATTGTTGTGCTGGCTATGCTCAAAGCACTGGATAAAAATAAAACTGTGTTGTAAAGTATGTCACTGTAGCGTAGCTCACACTCCCACCACAAGCTAATTGTTATAGGGCCCATGTCATGCTTTTCCTTGTTTTAATGTAACCTTGGTTAATTATCATCTTAGACGTGACCTAAAGCTCAAAAAATTAGGTGTATGCATGTTGTAATATTTCTATGCAGGAACAACTCGGTTTATACACGTCTCACAAACTCTCGCTCATGAGATTTTTTTTCTACCAAAATGAACTTTTATGTGATAGTTTAAGGATTTCCTTGAATGGTCATAATCTCCAGGCCGTTGCACGTTCATGTGAGCTTGACATCCCCCGACGACATTGTAAAAGCGGAATTTTTCGACTGCACCCGGTTTTGTGGATATATGTTCCCTCCTGCTGCTGCACTGTGACCAGAGGATGTGATGTCTTGCTGGTTAACGAGGGGATTAATGATCAATGATGTTATTGTGGGCGCTATGCTACCTGTTGGAATTAATTTCACTATTTTGGGACTGTATGTGGTCGTGTGGGGAAAAGTTGGATTGACATATTGGGTTAACATTATCCTTGTGATAAATATCAGCTATGGGCCACCCAGGAAGTGAAGATAAGATCTGAGTACATGCAGCTTCAGTAGTAGCTCTGTAAAACCTGTAAACCTGCTACCTATGAACTTCATTAGTCTAGAATTCAGTGGGATTTAGAGATGACTAAAACAAGATTTGAATTGTTATTTATTTAACCTTTCCTTAGCTGGGATGCCTCTTGAGAAGTAAGACAAGGCCAAATAAGCAAAATAAACATTTTAAAAGGGTAATCCATAAAGTTTGGGAACTCATAAGAGACGGATTAAAACTGCCTTCACAGTTTAAGTAGAACTGCCTATTATTAGTAATATGACCTTCATGTGAGAAATTAATGGAGTCCCTGTGTTGAGAAATTCTGTGTACACAGCAGATGGGTTACACAGAGCATAATAATAAAATACAACTTAAACAACATAAAACTCTCCATTATTTCTACTATTTAATACAATTGCGTTCCTCATGGGGCATTCTGAAATGTGTTGTGTGAATGCCTGATACAGTGGCAGTGTTTCCAAATGAAGATGAGCTTGTTAAATATTCCAAAGCATGTATGAAACATTACATGAAAAAGCAGTTTTTCCAGGTTAGAACAGACTCTGGAAACATTACAGACTGCCGATCTAGATGAACTAGTATTATCTAAATACTTTTCACATTGCAGAAAATGTTCTGGTGCCCTTTTACATTTCTGTTAACGTCCACTGAGCTCTCTCCTTCACCTGCACAGTGCATCTTGGCTCAAGAGGTACAGTAAAAGAAAAACTTCTGTTGTCCCTATTTAAATGAATACAATAACAAGGACTGTAAATCATGCTGACCATTTGCTTGTTGCATGTCTGTTAATGCCTTGTTTCTGTAACATTAGAGAGAATTGTTGAAAGGCTGGAGAAGTTACTATGTCTGCATTATGCCAGTTAAAACATGGGATTTCTCAGTTACTTGCTTCGTTTAGAGTGTTACACATCTCTCTTTATCGGTACATATACTGTTGTTGTTGTCATTGGGCAGGACAGAGAACTCCAAGCTGCTCCCTGTGGCCAACGGTGTGAGACTGTGGGTGTGTGTGTGTGTGGATGTATTATTATGTAAAATATTACAGTGTGACTGAGTGCATAGAAAAGCACTAAGTCCATTTACCCTGAGTATGCAGGATTTGTTCATTGTATTTATATTGTAATTGATTGATTTTTGATTTGGAGCCCCAGACTACAGTAACTGACAGCGTGCTAGGACACTAGCATGATGATTGTTATGAGTTTAATGACTGTAGCATCTACATGAAACTACCCAGGTCTTTTCATGTGGAAATCTTAAAGCTTGGAAGTCAATTTCAAATTTTTAGTGATGAAGTTATTCTGTAAATAAAATATTAAACAAAAAAGATCCTCCAGAGCTTTACTAGCAACAATTAGAGGTTCTTAGAGGCCAGTGTTTAAATGCATATCACCAACAAATTAGTATTTCACCAGACCACTGAAACTCACAATTTGCTCTAAAAGTTCACATGATTTAAACAACAGATGCAACTCAGTGAAAACAGTTAGATTTATTTGTTGTTTAACTGCTTACAATGTGTGCTCCACAACTGACAGACATCACTCTGTGCTAAGTAGCAATCTAAGAAAAAAAAAAAACGAATGTGTAATTTTCCTAAATGTCTGGCAGCAGTTCAGATATCTTCTGCATGGCAGGAGAGCATTAACGTACAGTCACAAATCACTGGGGCCTAATCTCACACCTCGCTGAGCATATGCAGATGGGATCGAACTTTGATCATGAGGCGCCATCAGCAGCCTAACAGTTGGCTGGACATAATGCTTGGTTATTATTTTTCTTTATCGCACGCTGGGAGGGGAAATCAATAAGTGTACACAGTAGTAGTGTCTCACTGCAGAAGGTTAACACTTCATATCAAGCTTAGTGTCCAATAAAATGGAGTAGACAACCTCTACATGTAGCGGCTTCTCAAGTAAATTAAACTCCTGGATGTCACCACAGAAGTCCAGGAGTTCATTACATTTGGTGTTTGGTCATTGATGGATGTGCACTATGCATCATGTTTGTTTCTCACTTTGACAGTTTGCCACTGAGTTGTGGCCACTGGTTTTTAATCTATCAAGATATAAGCTACTGTGATAAAGGGAAAACTTTTTGAGACGCCGCACCTCACAGAAAAGCCTGTCATCACCCCAGCTGGCAAACTAACAGGGCCTCAGCAACATGAGACAGCTTTAAACTCACATGAACAAATGTTATATGTTTACATTAGCAGTCAAGTGTTTGGACACACATTGCCATTGAATTCAATGGAAGGTTTGACTGGTTTTAGCATGTAAAACAAACTGGCCAATGTATCATCATCAACTATTTTAAAAGATGCTTCAGTGTAACTTTTTTATTTTAGGACCAAGTTTTCTTTCTGGCTTTTGACTCCTTACCTGACTCCAAAGAAGAGCTGCACAAGAATTCCTAGATGTCTAGACTGTCTGTTTATGCATAAATGGCAAATACAAATCTTGACTTGACTTGATTAATCCCTCTACTCACATTTTCAGGCTCACAGAGAATCAAACCTGATACAGCAGAACCAAAGATATACTCTTGTTTTATTCTGTGGATTTTTCCTCTTTGTCAAAACCTGGGGCCTGTATTACCCAGAATGCAGCTCAACCAGCAACGGTTTGGTGAGAACTGTATGAACTGGGTGTGTTATCCTAGTAGGCGCTTACAACTCCATATTGGTCAGAATGTAGTAAAGTATGCAGCAGACTTCAGTGTCTTCTGCCTGGCTGTTGCTGTGATGATGCTGTACCTGGAGAAGTGCTGCTGCAGTGACACCATCTGCCGCCCGCCCTGCTGAGACTTTGCTCCCTCTCCCTCTCTCCACACCCAGATGTTGTTTGTTCTCCAGCTGGGGATTATTATTATTATTATGGCTTTGTCTGGGTGGCGTAGCTGCAGGGGAGAGGCATAAACACAGTTAGTTTGTTGTTAATCTTGCATATTATAATCCCACTGAAGATTTCACACATATACTGCACATCTGTTCACTTTCTTTCCCCCGGTGTAAATGCACACTGCCAGTATGTTTACTCATTTAGAAAAGAGCAGGACCAGTGCTTGGCCTCTCCTCTGTCTCTCCACCTCACACACACGGTAGATCTGAATTCACACCTACTGTTCATCCATGTTTTCACCATAGCTGACAGGTTGTGTCTACTCGTGACATCTAAACAGGGCCCTGGGGTAAATGGTCATTTTAGAGCCAATTACATGTAAATCTACAAAAAAAGAAAAAATAATCAAGGACTCCTTTGCACACATTCTAACAAAAGTTCAGGTGTAGTTAATATTACAGTGTATTATAATAATTTCATAACTCTGGGTCTATCTTCACCTGTCTGGATATTGCTGAAAATAATTATTTTCAAAGTAGTTGTAACAATTCTGTGGCTGTTCATTGTTTCACTGACAGTAAACATGAGATGAGCACACATCTGTGTGACTGCAGATATTGGCTGTATGATGCACTCAATGTCCCTGATAAACCTGATACACAATATAGTTTCACCTTATCTCTATAAATTATTCTGTGCCTGTCGGATCCTTGTTATGCAGTAACTCAATAAGAATTGTCAGTCTCTGCAGTGTCAGTCAGATTCTTAATGGATGCCAGTGCTGCTCAGTTTCTGTGATGTTTTTCTTTCTTTCTGTAGCCTCCAGCCACAGGTTTGCCTCCCAGGGACTCATTTTAGCCATCAGACTATTATTTCTACTGCGCTATGCAGTACTGCGGAACTGAACAAAGCCCGTCGAATCACATGAAGGCCTCTCATTATTCCAAATGTTACAGTTGCTGTATTGTACTTTTTCTTCTCTCTGGCAGTTTTGCTTTAGTGTTTAGTCTTAAGTGTTACTGATTGATTGATTTTATTCTTTCAAACATGTAAAGACAGTCGATATGTCAACACACATAATTTTACACATATCCACAAATGCTAATCCATTATCAATGTGCTTATACCTAGTACATGCTT